CTGTGTCTCTGCCTCTCTCTGTGTCTCTCATGAATAAATAATTTTTTTTAAAAAAAAGGTTGGTTAATGGGGCACCTGGGTGGCTCAGTTAGTTAAGCACCATACTTTCAGCCCAGGTCACAATCTCAGAGGTCCTGGGATAGAGCCCCATATCTGGCTCCCTGCTCAGCAGGGAGTCTGCTTCTCCCTCTCCCTCTGTCTGCCACTCCCCCAGCTTGTGCTTTTTGTCCTGTCAAATAAATAAAATCTTAAAAAAAAAAAAAAGTCGGTTACTGTGAAGAAGCATTGAAAGATCTTTAAGTTTATAAATTAAAGTTCAATAATACTATGTTTTAGGGATTCACCAATATTTTTATTTAAAGCTGAATATGAATTTTTGAATATGAATCTGTTGATTGGAATTCCATGTTATCTTTTGTACATAAATCATACTTAAAATTAATTGTCTGCAATTTCCTGTTTTTCTTTTAAGTAGAGCTAACCCTTGTCACTTGGAAAGAAATCTGAGTGTGATAGTAGATTTTCCTGTCATTTTCTGTTACTGTAGATTTTATTTTACTTTTTAGTTTCTAAGAGTGTGTTTTGGTTTTTATCAAAATAACCACTCTAGCTTTGGACTTAGATTTTATTAGCTTGCGTAATATTTAATTCAGCTGTATAATAATATAAATGCAATTCGCATAAATATGCTTGGGACAGATAGAGCTGATTCTTGGTAAGCATTTAATGTAACTAGTAGGTACAAAAATATACAGAAGAGAGATTAACCCATTAGCACTGTGCATCCATCAGCCATTACACTTTTACATGGGGAAAGAGCAGCATGAGTTAGTTTACAAAGAATTTCTATGGTTGTCAGAAAGTAGGATTTCAGAAGTGGTGACCAGGTATGGAGAATGGTTTATGACAGTAGTAGGCATATGATCTCAGCCTCATCTTCCTTAATGTATCCTTTTGTTCTTCTGTGTCTCTTCCCTGGCATTTCTTTCTGTATCTACAGCCATGGGAACTCAAAATTACAAGGTCCTTCCTGTTTGAGCTTCTGCCCAGAAAACAGTGTTTTCATCTTCATTTAAATAGAAAAGACTGAAATAGGATAAGTCTTCTTTGAATGTTTATCAAATGATAAAGAGAAGGAGCTCTGTTTTCCTTAAGTCAGAAAGGTTGGAACTGTAACAGGAATTTTAATTTTAGTCTTTACTGGAATTAAATGGAAGGTGTTGGTGGTATTTGGTCTAGAGGAGAAGGGCAATGCTGCCCCGTCCTTCCTGCCCACTGTCCTACTACAGCACAGACACCAGAGGGGAGGTTAGTGGTACCACCCTGAAGGCCTGGAGAGGCCTGGGTCATTTCTTTTTCATGTGATTCAGAATATTTCCTACTGTGGGTTTTTTGTTGGTTTATTTTTGGCTTTCCTACAACTTCATAAATGAGTGGAGAGAAAGAATTCTTTTTTTCTCTAAAGATTTTATTTTATTTGAGAGAGAGAGAGAGCACAAGCATGAGTGGGGTGAGAGGCAGAGGGAGGGAGGGAGCAGACTCCCCACTGAGCAGAGAGCCCAGTGTGGGGCTTAATCCCCAGATGACTGGAATATGACCTGAGCCCAACGCAGGCAACATTTAAGGGACTGAACCTCCCAGGTGCCCCAGAGAGAGAAAATTCTTAAGAAGCAGTTCCTGAGTCTTAGATCTGTGCTTATATATTTTTTTAATTTTTTAATTTTATTTATGATACTCACAGAGAGAGAGAGAGAGAGGCAGAGACATAGGCAGAGGGAGAAGCAGGCTCCATGCACCGGGAGCCCGATGTGGGATTCGATCCCGGGTCTCCAGGATCGCGCCCTGGGCCAAAGGCAGGCGCCAAACCGCTGCGCCACCCAGGGATCCCCTGTGCTTATATTTTATGTTTCACACTTTTCATCTTTCTTATCAACTTTGGTATACATATACACATACACAGCCATGTGTCAAAAAGATATGTTTGATAATTTTTACCTTAAAATGGCTACTAGCCATATTAGCTTAAGAATGTCTTTTTTTTTTTAAGATTTTATTTATTTATTCATGAGAGACAGAGAGGGGCAGAGAGAGGCAGAGACACAGGCAGAGGGAGAAGCAGGCTCCGTACAAGAAGCCCTATGTGGGACTAGATCCTGGGACTCTGGGATCACGCCCTGAGGCGAAGGCAGCCGCTCAACCACTGAGCCACCCAGGTGTCCCAAGAATGTCTTTCTAAAGACAGCCTATCTTTTTTTTTTTCCTTTCAAAAGTTTATAGTCTAGTATATCTCCAAGTTTTTAATTTTAATGTTTGAATTTAAGATATAAAATGTTGGCTTGATATAAGGTATGTTTTTTTATAGGAATAACGTAACTTGAATGTTTAAGAAATTACTCAAAATTTAGTATAAAAAAGAACTAGATGTTTGGAATACATTAAATAAAATAATTTCACTGTGTTATTTTTAATACAGATAAAATTCCCAGAAGGTTTCACAGATTACTTTTGACTACCTGTTGGGTAGTTAGAAAGTCAAAGGAGTTTGATTTTCCCTTTATGCTCTTATGTACTGTTGTAACTCTTATGAGCAAATACTGATTTTATTAATTTTTAGCCTGCTTTATTTAAAAAAAGTGCTCTGGCTTTTTGTTTTCATTTTATTTTATTTTATTTTATTTTCATTTTAGATATAATGTCTTGGGTAACTGAGCATGCCTTTCATTAAATATAGCTAATATTCAAGCATTCTGATGGAAAGTTTGTTTAGTTGAGGTACTTGGGATTGTTGGAACCTCTATCTCTTCCTTTTTGTCCTTCCTAGCCTGCCTCTGAAATGGTCTTTCTGCTTCAATAGCATCGACATTCTTGGCCTCCCCCAGCCCCATGTACCAAAACCCTCATTTCCCCCCAGAAGGCAGTGAGAACCAGAAATCAAACTATTTCTCTTTCCTCTCTCTTTTAATCCTAATCTACTTTTGTCCCTCACACTTTTCAATCAATTCTAGCAAATCTCCAAGTGAATCCTTAGTTGTTAACCCTTTCAGGTTAACACGGTAATTTGTTTCTGTTCTCATTTCCAGTGAATCAACTTACTGTTCAACTGACTGAACAGTGCACCTTCATTATTTTAGTTCAGTTTGGCCTTCTGGAAGAGAAATAGTCTTGATTTATTTCTTCATGCTTCTTGAACTTTTTGGCTAATTGATATGATCCATAATTGACCTAGAAGTAGTCACTTGGGATATCGTTCCCATTTTATATGTTGTCACATTATACAATAAACCTTATTCATGCATTGACTGTCAGTTACTTGAAACAAAGAGGATTTAGGAGAAAGATTTTAAAAGAATGAAATTAAAGGTCAAAATAGAGGTTTCAATTAATAATTGAAAAATGGTTAAGTGATAAGGTGGAATCAAGAAAGTAGCCTTTTGGGGATCCCTGGGTGGCTCAGCGGTTTAGCACCTGCCTTTGGCCCAAGGCGCGATCCTGGAGTCCCGGGATCGAATGCCACGTCGGGCTCCCGGCATGGAGCCTGCTTCTCCCTCCTCCTGTGTCTCTGCCTCTCTCTCTCTCTCTTTCTCTCTCTGTATATCATAAATAAATAAATAAATCTTTAAAAAATAAAAAGAAAGTAGCCTTTTGACCTTTAATAGTTTATAGCATTATGGTAGAATTTGTTAAAATACTTAAATGTGAAATAAAATACATTCAATCTAAAACCAGAAGCTCAAAAATAAAATAAAATAAAATAAAATAAAATAAAATAAAATAAAATAAAATAATAAAATAAAATAAAATAAAATAAAATAAAACCAGAAGCTCCCGAAAGAAAGTTAGTTACTCACCACATTAATATTTTCTATATTTCTTCCTAGGATTTCTCCATGTGAAGTATTTTTATGTAATATATATAAATTATCATAATCTAAGATATCTCCTTGTATACTTATATTTTTCTAATTATAAGCATTTTCCTGTATTACACACATTTTTCTTCTTGGTTGGGTTTTCTTTTAAGTAAGCTCTGCCCCTCATGGGGCTCAAACTCACACCTGGAGATCAAGAGTCGCATGCTCTACCAGCTGAGCCAGCCATGTACCCCTTTTGTTTTTATTTGAAGAAATCCCATATTTTTTGAGCTTATGACCTACCCGCTCTCCTATTGGACACTGATGCTTTCATTTTCTTCCTTCGCATAGCCTAATATTTCAGTCGTGAAGTTTTAGTGCCCAGAGATCACAAGGGGTCCACAAAGCTATACTTAAAATGATCTGGTACTAGGACCTCTCCTGGTTAACAGATTTATCCAATGACCCCTCAATTTTGATCTCTAATAATACCAAACTTAGAAAATCTTAAGATGGCAGTCACAATAATAAGTGTCAGCTTGAGCTTCATTTTAAATTCTACTTACTTTCCAGAGGAACGAATTAAATTTACCTTGATAGACAAAACTTAATTTAAAGTAGAAATAAGAAAAATTTTGTGAAGAAAAATAATTCCATTGTTCTGGCAAACTGAAATACACTCACTCTCTATGTGTAGCAGAGGGATTTCTGGCTGCTTTTGTAGATAACTATGGAATTGAAAAGTAGGGCAGATAAAAAAAATTAAAACTTGTTGAAGATTCCATTCTTCCCTTTGCCTTCCTACCTTCCCAAGGAAAATGACATTTTCTTGCATTTTTGTGCTGTCTTCTTTTTCATAATTAGTTCTCTGAACATCTTTGATTCTAACCAATTACTTGTTTATATAAACCCAGAAGTCTTTTAGTTCTTTGAAACTACATTTCTAAATTATATTGTTTTCTTATGAGTTGCTCTGCTTTTAAAAATTATTTCTCCTTTAAATTTTATTTTTTACATCTTTGACTCAAATTTCAATGGAAGTATAGTTTGTAAGTAAGCATACGTTGGAGTCACTTTGAACTTTAAGTTAATCTTGTATATTTTAATAAAAGTATAACACTTTTATCCCCTACCTCCCTTTTTTTAAAGGAATCAGCAGGCGGAGATCTTCAGTCTCCTTTAACACCAGAAAGTATCAATGGAACAGATGATGAAAGAACACCTGATGTGACACAGAACTCAGAGCCAAGGGCTGAACCAACTCAGAATGCATTGCCATTTTCACATAGGTACAGATTCAATTCAACCATCATGATTAAGTAAAATGTGTAAATATGGAAACTTATTGGTTTCAGATAAATTTTGAAAAGTTATAACCCTAAGTGAAAACCCAGGTCAATCTTTTCTTTTTTTAAAATGTTACTTTCAACCTCAGAAAGGTTTTTAAATAGTTTATAGATGCCTATATGGACTGGAATGAACATTTCCTTTATGTAGAAAAGAACTACTGAGTTAATTGCAGTACAAATCATTTTTCAGTGAAACACTTTATTATTGTAAATCTTTTCTACTTATTTTTTTAACACAGCCCCTAAAAGGCCACCTTTGTTAACCTGGTTTCATCTATGTTCTTGAGGGTTAAAATTTTTTTTTTTGTTTTGTTTGTTTTTTAAATCTACTTCCTACTCTGAAATTAAGCTTTACTGTACTCTTAGAGGTGATCTCACCATAGGATTTCACAGAAGGAAAGAAGTTATTGTTGTAACTTCTATTAACGTTTATGTCAGATTGAGTTTTTTACCAACTAACAGGGGATAAATCTTGTAGTTCTGAACTGTAAAAGAATTTGATACTTCAAAAAGATAAAATTTGTCTTAAATGTGTTCTAAACCAGTTAATTTGCCATACTTTGGTATTTTTTTGGACACAGAGAGGTCTCTGGAACTGCAGCACTGCAAATAAAAACGAATACCTATCAGTCATTGTCTTAAAGTTAAATTTTATCTTTCTTTGGAAATTTTTGACCAGGTAGTTTTAATGAAATTAAGAAAATAGTTTTCCTGTATTGTGCATCTCTTTTGAGGACCAATTTCTAAAAAAATCAAATTCTTGAACATATTCAGAACAATTGTGAAGTGAGAAATTCCAGACTTTTTTTCATGAGAATTCTAATTTTGATTGAATCTGTTGAATATTAGGGGCAGCACGGAATATACACTTTAGAGACTAACACTGAGAGACCTCATGATCAGGCTGAGGAAGAAATTAGTTGTGAGTTTTTTTAAGGAATGTGTGAGGAAAACTTTGTGACTGCAAGACTATTCTAATTTTGTACCTAAAAATGCTAATAATTTGGCATACAATAGTAGACCCATCTTAGAATTATCATGGTTAAAGCATTAATATGTTTTAACTATGGCAGTGTAAGCATATTCTCTTTTCTATTGTTATAAAAATAAACTGAATACATGAAAAATTTATTAGTTCCTCTGAATATCATGTACACATCAATAGGTAAAATATATAGGGTTTTTTTTTAATATGCAGTTACAACTGAAGAGCAATGTGATTAGTATGTAGTTTTTAAAAAATATGAGGGAAGGAAAAATTTTATTCCTATTAAATTTAACATACCCATTTAAAAGATGTAAATGAACTGAACATAATAAATTTGATTTCTTTGACTTACTTAAATGAGCCATGTGCATTGAATATTATAGCATTTGCAAATGAGAACTTTGTATTTAACATTTGTAAAAACTATTTCTAGTTTACTTTATGCACCTAAAAGTCTCTGAATGTTTGTTGTTTTCCTGATCCTTAGTATTTGGAGTTATGGACTGGGATTAGTCATCTTCTATTGATCTGCTCTGTACTTGGGAGTCTAATAGGAGTTAGTTATTTTTACTTGAAGGTACAGCTTCTTTGACTACTGGAATCTGTAGATTACTCATGGAGATACTTGAGTTCTGAAAAGAAAATTTAATAGGTCATTTAAAGCTTTTAATTATGTTAAAGGTATTATACTGTCTTATAGTTTTCTTGTTATACCATTTTAAAAATAGCTTTCAGGATTTCAGAAGACTTACCTTCTGAACTAGTTTTGATTTCTATCTGAGATGGACGATTGAGTGTTTTATAACCAATGTTAGAATCCCAAAATAACAGGAGAGACCTTAAAGATGGTGTAATCTAGGATCTTCCAAACTTCGGTAGTGTGAAATCAATTTAGGTTATTCTTGGCATTCTAAAAAATGAAACATGAGATAGGAAATATTAGAGTAAAATTCACATTAAGAATAGAAACTTTGCTTCATTCAGTAATGCACATATTTGTGTAGGTGCCTGATTATAATGTAAGAAACATCAGTTTGAAAGCATGTGCCTTCAACACATGAGACTAAATCCCAGCGGTTAGGTCAGTTGTCCTAGGTCGCATAGTTCATGAAACTTGAGTAGGATTGCAGCTCACCTTTTGATCCCAATAGGGAATGCCAGTTAGAGTACATTTTAGTTGAACTCCTATACCAAGTACACCGTAGTGTTAGGAAGTTATTATCTTCCTATCCTAAAAGTACTCTGTAGAAATAAGATCAGCGTTTCATGAATGAGAAACAGAAGATTAAAATAATTTTTATTTAAATCTGAAACTTGTGTTTAAATTTGATAATTTAAACACTATTTTTTTTTTTTACAAAGGAAGACAAAAGTAGGTTTTTTAAGGCTTATTTAGACAATGTTTGCCTTCTTCCTTAGTACTTACTTCAACAGAAAAGAATGAACAAATATATATATATATATATATTTTGCCAACATTTCTCTGTCCTGGTTGATGCCATTTTACTGTTAAGTAAGGAGCAAAGTCACTAAAATATCTATGTGTTGTGATTTCATGAAGAAAGGATATGAAGAGCAATGACCTAGTCAAGTTAATTAAGAGTTGATGGTAGTAATAGTACTTAGCAAGCCAATTTGTGCTCTTAAAATTCAAACCGTGTACCTAGTCTCATGAATTCATTAATTAACATACCAGAAGGTGGCCTTGATTTTCATTTGGTCCTGAAATTTTGGCAATTGTGTTATGGTTGGCTCTTTACTCTTTGTTAGTTCTATGTACTTTTTAAAAATTACTAGCTTTAAAGACATAAGGAAGATTTTTTTTTGTTATTCTTTAAACTTACACAGATTTTCAAATATATTTGAAAGAGAGAGTACTATGATGAACTCCCATGAACACCCCCCCATCTTCAAGAGTTATGTAAAAATGGTCTTATTCCGCCCCTGCCCACTCTTCCACTTTTGTATTATTTTATTTTAATTTTTTAAAGGTTTTTATTTATTCAGGATAGACACAGAGAGAAAGAAAGAGAGAGAGAGAGAGGCAGACACAGGAAGAGGGAGAAGCAGGCTCCATGCAGGGAGCCCCACGCGGGTCTTGATCCCAGGACTCCAGGACCGCGCCCCGGGCCAAAGGCAGGCGCCAAACCGCCGAGCCACCCAGGGATCCCCCACTTTTGTATTATTTTAAAAGCAAATCCCAGACATAAAATTTCATCCACAATACTTTCATTTTTTATTTTTATTTTTTTAAGATTTTATTTATTCATGATAGACACAGAGAGGGAGGGACAGAGACACAGGCAGAGGGAGAAGCAGGCTCCATGCAGGGAGCCTGACTTGGGACTCGATCCCGGGTCTCCAGGATCACGCCCTGGGCTGAAGGTGGCGCTAAACTGCTGAGCCACCTGGGCTGCCCCACAGTACGTTTTAAAATTACTTTCGAGCTTTTTAAAAAACTTACTAAGGTAGCACAGCTATTTATATTCTATCTCAGTGTCATTATACAGTCTACTTTGAATTATTTACTCTTTTCTTTGATTTTTAATTATACCACTGAACTAAATTTTAGAATGTATGGGCTACTCAGTATTCCTTAGTCAAGTGCTATTTATGTCCTAACCTTATGCAAAAACATTCTCATTGAGTAAGTTTCAATAAATTAATACATTTTTAGTGTATTTATATAAATGCTTTTTGAAGTTTAGGAGTGTATAAAAGGGGGAATTAGTGAGTTTGAAAACGTTTACTGATTTCTTTGGGGAGGATCACTTCTCAGCCTTTGGCTAAGATCGAGTGTGATTTCTTTGGGAGAAATGGCATTATATTTTATCTAAATTGCTATTTTTCTTAAAAATTATTTTTTAACCTAAATGATAAAAATAATTTGAGGACTGAGCAGGTATATATTCCCCACCAAAGTGTTCAGGGTGTCCTTTGAGACCTTATCTTAGATTAGCTATGTACTAAATAAAGCAGATATATACTAATAGAACAGCATAAACAAATGGGGGAAGGTTTTGTTTTCTATTTCCAGGGACTTACTGTTTGCTTTATAGCATCAGCTGTATGAATTCTGGAATTTACTTGTTCTTAATAAGAAATTCTAGGATATGTTTTTTAAGACTTAAAGCTATCTAAATTCCCTTTGGAAATAGTTAATTTTACACTATCCCAGTGCTGTTAGAATATAATACTAAAAACTAAAACTTTTTATTTTGTTCAGTGTAAATTTATGTTCCCCACATATTGATAAATAACTGCTATTATTTTATTTCTGAGAGTCCAGAACTAGTATATATACATTAGTAGTTTGTGAAGCTATTTTTGTACTGATAAATTTTAATAACTGTTTGATTATATTAAGGAAAATAGGCTGTTTTAAGCACTGATTATATTTAAATTCTTTTGGTGTTTATATAGTATATTCTTATGGTGCTGCTAGTACTTACACATTTTGGGGGTGCTGCATGTGTCTTCTCTTCTGTTAAAGAGATTTTTCTGCCACTTTGTGTGTTTCCAGCAGATATTCATTAAAGGATGTATGCACAGATGTTACTCTTTAGTATATTGATTTTACTTTAAACCAAACCAGCAAACTACAATTTTACTCAAACTTATGAAATCTGGGTTGGGTTCATTTAATTTTTATTTAATAGCGTAATTTCTTTATTATCAGAGTTTCAGAAAGCTACTGCTTTAAAACTGATCAGGGATATTTGGACAGTTTGAAAAACTAAATTTTGTTAGAAAACTTATACACCGTTATAGTTACATGTTAAATTTTTTTAAAAAGTGCTTTATTTTGAATCAAATACAGTTTGTACTTACTTGAAAGATGATACAAACAAGAAAAAGATGAATGACTGTTAAGAGCTCTGGGGTACTATACTCTTCTTAGCTATGCCCTGTGTCTCCCATTTTTATGAATAGTAGGCAAAACTTAAAGGGT